TACAATATACTTAAGAAAAATCCACCAATTTCTATTTTTCTTAATTATTATCTTATAAATATATTTTAATTCCATCAAAATTGCATAAAAAAATTTAAAATAGCCGATAAAAACTGATTAGCAATATCGTATTAATTATTAAAAATAGGCTTAATTATAATTTGTTCTGTTCTGTCAAATCGCAAAATTAATGGCTGAAGATATTAGGGAAAAAGCTACATTTTTGTCCCACTTGGGTATAGTGCAAAATGTGTTTTCATAATAATTTGGGACTAATATGAAGAAATTTTAATATTAGTTTTTGTAGAAAAATGTAAAATTCGACAGAAAAAATTGATGACAAATTATACCGGCATGAAAAGTTTCAACAATATTTTATAGCCTGTGGCTTTTGAGGAAAAAACGCAAACGGTTAAGTAGATTTATTTTCTTGATTATTGTATAAAAATAGCTTACTATATAAAATCTAAGTTTTCTAACACGCAATATCTCCTAAAGGGTAGTAAAAAGGTACAAAATTTATTTGCGATAAATATCTCGAACACTATTAAAGTTTCGGATCAAATTTAACAGTAAAACTTCTTGGAATATTCAGTTGCAAAAATGATATAATTTTGTGTCGAAAAAGAACTGAAAATGTATAGGTCATATATAAAGAAACAGTATAAGTCTATTTTTGTAAATAATGAATTGAAGAACACAATAGTTATAACATTGTTATGATCAACAAATTTATTAATATCGCAGTTTCGAAATATAAAGAGAAACTTCCTATTTATTCATTTATTTATTTTATTTTACTATTTATTTGTTTATTTTTATAACAATGCTTTTGTATTTTTAATTATTAGGCAAAGATGATTTGACAATTAATATTTTTAAAAGCTGCACATCTTTACTTTAAAGAAATGATTTTAACTGCTCAATCTTTCGCATTTCAAGTTGAAACTTTAAAAAAAAATCTAAAATTGATTTTTATTTTCAAAACGTGATCAAAATATTTCAAGGTAATTCAATTTAAAAATGTAAATAAATAAGGTTGATTTATTATTGTTATGGTGTATCAAAACTTCAGTAACAAAATCAAGTAGTCCATATGTAATAAAATGGATTCTTATATTTGTAGTAATAAATAGTCACTTTTATGTGACAGGGTATTTGACACATACAACTAAAATTGTTTTAGTTTCTAACCTTGGACTTAGTTTGTTTTGCCAAATTATACCTTGCAAACTTTGGAACACAGCTTTTCATTCCATTTTATAAACCAGAACTATGTGTTTTATGAGCTTTCGTAAAGTACATTCTTTAATCTATGTTTTCTAGAATTCAACTCAGTGGTTGATCATACTCTTTCTAATTAGATTGTATCAGAGTTATTTTTTACAGTGTTCTGGACATATAATGCAGTAATGCACTGAAAGTTTATTTTCACTTGATATACTTTAAGTAAAAATATAATGTCACTACTGTTTAATATCAAGCTGGCCGGGAGGACATCGAACCCGAAACCAAAGATTATTGCAGCACATTATTACTACGAAAACCTATATTTCACATAGTGTAGTTACCATACTTTATATATGCCAACTACATAATCTGTTACCCATTTTTATGAAACAAATGCAGAATAAATTTTATAAAATCATTTTTTACCAAGAGTTCCCAAAGATGAATCTCAATCGGCAGTGCACGTTTATTGAAATGATATTTTAATGAGATGTATGTGCTATATGTAAAAATTTTTCCAAATACCATAAACAAGCACATTGCTAAAATACAATACAATGTTCATTTCCTAAAGTAATTAAAACATATATATTGTTGAGTAAAAATGTGCAGAGTATAAGTATCTTTTCAAATAGGATCTGAATATATAAAATTGCATCATGGTCAATCGCAAAGAAAATGATAAAAAAAGCATTAAAAAATCTTTTCTATAGCATGCCATAAACATGCCTCATAAAAATTTAAACAGTTGGCTCAATACGCCTAAAGTTTGTTTCATTCTATCAAAAACGTATTATACCTTATTAATGTGAACCGTGTTATAGCTATAGCACCGTATAGCTATAGCTATAACACGGTTCACAAAATTATTGTTTATAAGTGTGGTTGATTTCATATAACGTAAAAGTTGGCTTAGTGGTTAAACCACTGGCCTTCCAATCACAACGTTTCAGATTCGATACCTACACCTTGAACATCCTGATGTCAAGCAGTAGAGATATTGTTTTTCACTCCAAAGTAGGTTTCCAAGTAAAAATAGCCCTTCTCCGGCTTTCCTGCACTAACCCTCTGTGGGTCGCATAACTTCAAACTTCCAATTCTTTCAGAATTTTACAAAAAAGTCATATTTTTTCGTGAGATGATACATAAATTTAAATTCTGTAACGTTATAAAGACCAACTAAATCAACATTTATGACCATTGCTAAAGTTTTCAACCTGAAATAACATTTTCATGTGCAGAAGCGAACAGAATACACTATTGTGACTTGACTTCACATGATTCATGAACACCAAAAGAATTTGTTCTTCAATTGCATATATGTATATGCTTATAATTACTAACGTTTTGATCCCCTAATTTTTTGGATGTGAAACAAAAATTTGGTCCATAGAAAGTTGAGTCATCTAATCAAATTCTAATAATAAAAATGTATCAAATATATTTCTTTATACTCTATATTGGGTTGAATTTTAAAAAAAACTACTGAGTTAAAAAGTTTTCCAATCTTACATTGGAAACATTTGTGGTTATCTTATTTCTGCAACACAACTTAGTTATATAGAACTAATAAATATTTATACAAAAGAAGAAAATTTATACTGAAGAATCAATAAATATTGCATGAACCATAGTGCTACAAAATGAAGTCTTTCGGAGCATTCGTTCAACATATATTAGCATCGCTATTAGAAGTATATGTAATATATAATAAAATTCAGAGACTTGTCAACCGCGGGGTTACATTCTGGAAACACCAGGTTAAGGAATGTAGATCACAAAAGCTTATAGAGCACATAGTTCTGATTGGTGTCCCAATATAAAAAAAGCTGAATGGCATATTTTGTCTAGAAGGGTTCCTGAATAGGGTACTGACTAGAAATATATAATTTCCCAGCCCTCGTTGCATAACCGTTCAGATCACAAACATTGACATTGTGATTCAAGGACGCTTTTGAGACGTCCGACTGCGATCAAAAAGGATTACGTAAAACAACAAGTCTGTGCGAGCAAATAAATGAAAATGACAGCGTTAACTCTCGATCCATGTAGACGAATTCGTTAATTTCCAACCAGACGGATTTGGTAGTCGA